GGCTTCATACCTTTCATGAGCATCTGAAAATTTTACTTTAACAAATTACTGCATTTGAAAAAATTTATATATTTACAGAATACCTAAATAGAGGAGATATATATATATAAACCCATATCTAAAAAATCAGAGGTATGGAACATATACCTTATATAGCACCAACCTAAATGATTTTCACTGCTGTGTATCTGCTGTAATCTGTGCTGTATTTGTGTATGCTGCTGTATGGTATCTGAACAATCGGAGGTATAAGAGATAAAGCTTATACAGCATAGATTATGACGTTTTCCTCAGTAGACTTTGTATTATTTTTTATAGAATAGCTTACGAAATTGATCTGTTTTATCAGTCCAAATGAAGGAATTGTACAGTAAAACCCGATATCTGAATAATCAATTGTATGGAGGATATAAACAGGTTAGAGTGACCCGGTCTTTGTTAATTTTACTGTAAACTATTATGGTAATTAGTGAAAATATTGCGAAATTTCATATTTCCAGCTGCATATATGGAGAAGTTATAACAAAGAATCTCGAATCTGAACAATCAGTTGTATGGAGGCTATAGGTTATAGCGACCCGATCATCGCCATTTTCACTCAAAGTATTCTTTTGATAATGAGTGACAACAGTGCCAAGTTTCATGTCCCTAGCTGATTAAATGGAGGAGTTATAACGAAAAATCTTAATGAAAAATCTCATATCTGAACAATCAGTTGTATGGGAGCTATATGTTATAGTGGTCCGATTTTTCCGGTTCCGACAAATGATTAATACATTATAAAAATACACTCACCTACCAAATTTCATCCGGATATCTTGAAAACTGAGAGACTAGATTGCATACAAACAGACGGAAAAACAGACAGACAGACAGACGGACATGGCTAAATCGACTCAGCTCGACGTTCTGATCATTTAAGTATACATTTTAATGGGTCTATCTCTTCTTACTCTGGTACTTACAAACATCGGACCAAAGTTATTATACCATTTCATGCTCATGAAAGGTATAAAAAGGGGGTCGGAACGACGTTGTATTTTGTATGGAAAAAACGACTTCGTTTCGAGTTCACCCAAACGACTTCACCAGAGCGACGTCGTAACGACGTCGTTTTGAGTTCACCCAAACCACTTCGCCAGTGCAACGTCATAACGACGTCGATTCGAACCCGTCTTCGCCCTATGGCAAATTGGGTACATACATGTATTTAGCAAGTTCAATCAGTGAACGCTGCCCTGCAGGAAATTTTGCTAGTTCAGAACTAGCTCATTAAGAGGCGGTACTGGTTCTCGATCTATCCCAACGCTATGGTTTCAACTGTCTCTTTTTATATGGCGTCGTCCTACGAAGTGGAAATTGTCACCTCTGCAGAACTTTGGAACTAGTTCTGAACTGGTTCCATTTTCGACAGTGCTGGGCCAATAAGTTTTTTTATGAGAAAACATTTTTAAATCAAATTACTGGATATTTTTTTCTTTTCTGAACTTTTTCCGTTTTGGACAGATCTGCGACAATAGGTTTATTATGAAAAAAATTTTGATTATCAGATTTTTTGATATTTTTTGATTTTTCCTGTTCTTTTACAGATCGCATTTTATTAATTTTTTTTTATTTGATTTTATTTATATTAAATTTGATCATTTTCTCTTAAACCGCGATTCGAACTCGCGATCAACGATGTTGGATTCGGAGGTCTTCCCGCTGAGCTACTTTAGTATTGTACGAGAAGTGAGAATTTGTGCATTTACGTCTTAACAGAGCACAACTACCACACCAAAATTTCAACTGTGCCTCCCTGCAGCCGTTTTGCACTAGTTCAGAGATAGTTCTGACTGTCTCTAAATTTTACTGCAGGGTGTTTAGAACAAATACATTTATGTGTGTATGTATGTGGTATAGCGCAGTCACGTCGCTCATACACATCTCATACCTTGTTTATATGACATCAAACTCGGTCATGATTCAATAATACAAGGTTAGATAATTATTGACAGCCGCGGTTTGACACTCCCTTACAAAAGGTTGCATTCACTAAGGACAGAGAAAGGGCGAAAATGGTAGTAGAAAAGTACGCAAAGTAGGCAATTAGTAGTGAAATTCCTTGTGTAAATTCTAATGTATTTGCAGGAAATCTGGCATTTTAAATGAAATATTGAACGAAATATTAATATATCTATGTGAATTACGTAACTTATTTGCTATTTAGCTGTATAAAAACTGCACCAGAACTGAAAATTTAAATAAAACTACTATGAGATTTATGTAAACATCCAATTTAAAAACAATTTATGTTTTCATCACTTAAATGTGCTTCATATGCATTTGCAAATAAACATATTGCACAAAAGCTTATACTTCTATTTCACACCAAAGCTACACTGTTTCCATGTAAATTTGCAAAGAAGCAACACGGTGCCACTGCTAAGGGAGCGGTGTGAGAGAGACAACTGTCAGTTTATCGAACCTTGTATTATTGAATCATGAAACTCGGTATCGAATTAACTCGTGTCAATGTAGCTCGCTTGAAATGGAAGTGTTTATATGCAACAAAAGAAATGAGTCGATCGAACACTCTTTCAAACAGATTTCATCCCGATGCAACCCTGTTAATACATGTGTCATTTCTTGAAAATAATAAACATGGAAAAATAATAATTAAAGATCCAAACAGCCATGAAAAAACGATATTAGCTTTTAATTTTATAAGAAAGCTTAGTCTAAAAGTAATTTCAAGAACTATTTAAATGTTTTACTTCATACAAAGTTGCATGAAACAACCGTGTGGTCAAATCCCGTGTTTATATGCACTCTTAACACGATTCAGCAACTCTTAACTCGCATTCAAAATGTGATTTATTGTGGCACGGTTAATAGTTTCAATTCTATTTGAGAATGTGTTTACATGTGTGTGTCCAAGTAACATGGTTTGAATTAGAACGAATTGAAGCATCATATAAACATGGCATCACTCATAGAATTTTTTCGTAGCTATGTATGCGCTGTATTTGGCGACCAAATAGGCTTATGCTTATACATACGTCTTTGTTATTATACCTTTCATGAGCATGAAATGGTATTATAACTTTGGTCCGATGTTTGAAAGTACCAGAATAAGAAGAGATAGACCCATTAAAATGTATACTTAAATTATCAGAACATCGAGCTGAGTCGATTTAACCATGTCCGTCTGTCTGTCTGTCTGTCTATCTATCTGTCTGTCTGTCCGTCTGTTTGTATGCAATCTAGTCTCTCAGTTTTCAAGATATCCGGATGAAATTTGGTAGGTGGGTGTATTTTTATAATGTATTAATCATTTGTCGGAATCGGAAAAATCGGACCGCTATAAGGTATAGCTCCCATACAACTGATTGTTCAGATATGAGATTTTTCGTTATAACTTCTACATTTATGTAGCTATGAACATGATATTTTGCAATACTTCCACCCATTACACTATGCGACAGTCAAAATCGGGATGGGATGAAACCAACGGGAAATGTTATATCGGTCAAAAACAAGTTATACGTGACCCGGCGTTTCTCTGGGTCACGTCTAGGAATCGAGATATATATATAACTATCATATAGGGGAAATTGTCACCTTTGGTGGTCTTCTTTTGACATAACTCGAGAACCACTAGTCCGATTTTGCTCAAACAAATTTAAAAAAATTAAAAATTACAATTCCTTTAATCTGTTCATATAACGTTTTTCTATATAATCAACAGTTTTGCCGGTAAAAATAAATGTATGAAGAAAAAAAATATTTTTTGCCTAAAATATTAAATTTTTTTAAAACTATAGGTCACATATTTATTGCCTCCATAAAACTGATTGTTGAGATATAGGGCTTTACTGTAAAACTCCGTTATTTAGACAGCTAAAGTCGATAAATTTCGTAAGCTATTTTATAAATAACTAGCTGTACCCTGCCACGCTTTGCTGTGGCATATTCCTGTTACATGGATGATAAATGATTAACGAAGCAAAGCATACGTTTCAGATAAGTTTAATTTTGCAATACTATCTGGTTTTCCGACACGCAACATAGATTTTTCCATGTGAGAAGCAATCGGCATCTAAATCTAAACCATTCTTTTCCAAAGGTTGACCTGGAGCATTACTGATTGTGATTCCGAATGCCAATCGGATTGGGATTTGCCATATTTTAAATTGAAATGGTGTATCGGTCGGAATCATGGGAATTCACCTTTCAAAGGCCACGTTAAAATCTTTGCTTTCACTACGTTCTTCATCAATTTCTTAGTTTCGAGTCGCGTGCTATTGCAGAGTTTCGGCTGATTAATATTCCGCAACATGAGAATAGCCACACCTATTTTCAATTTCAGTATATGGGGTCATCCCTGGAAGATCAATCGAGTTCAAAAATTCCGTTGGATAATTAACTGCTTCATTTGTTTCCACAACGGTGTTTATCGACATACATATATCTATGTTATTTTATCACTTCGAATGCTGGATTGAAAAACATTATTGAGTTGATAGACATCTGTTCCGTAACCAGCAATATAATTTCAGTTTCATGTAGGGTATATATGTTCTCTTATACTACCTTTCATAAATATGTATGAATGTAACCTTGTAATTTCATTTCACATCAATACATAGCTAAATATACATATGTGCATAGGTTCTTTTATCCCATACGATTGTATTGTAGTCCAGTTATGTACGGTAATATCAGCCCATAAGGCACCTGAGGTATTTATATTTTCTGGAGTAGACTCGTTTTTTTGGTTTCGCTTCAGCATCACGTGGATGCAGTAATATTTGAGTAAAACTTAAACGAACTTAAAATAAATTTGCGTTTGCCAAAAAATCAAAATCATTCGCTTTTAATTTACAGTCCGCTGGTTTAGCTACATAAAAAATTGGTCCATCGTACCGGATCAGGCGCGAACGAGAAAAAATAAAATAAAAATATAATTTTATGGTTTCGGGTTTTCTTAAATTTCTGCACCAAGTGAGGGGAGTAAAATGCAGAAGTTGAAGGCGAAACGATCCTTGCTAAAAGGAGCGGTCACACGCATCTTAAATTTCGTGACTAGCAGTGGAGCTGATTCTCCAGTGGCAGACTGGGAATGCCGTTTGGAGCGTCTTGAAGAGGTATGGAGTGAATACCGCGACATCGTTCGAGCCATGGTAGAGAAGAGCGATGGCGAGGAGGAGGCCCTGGTGGAGATTCAAGTAGATGCAGAGGAATTTGAAGAGCGCGTGCTGAACACAAAAGGTAAACTTCGAGCACATATCACTGCGAAATTGCACGCGTCTGGCGTATCAAATGTTTTTGAGTCCACTCGCGGAGACTGTTCGGTTGCCGATATTTTATCATCGCAAACGGAAGTTTTAAGTAATTTGGCCAAGCAGGTGTCTGGACCAAATTTAAGTTTCATGCCAAAGTTAAAAATCAAATCGTTCTCTGGGGAGTTAACTGAGTGGAAATCTTTTCATGATTCGTATGTCACTTCCATTCACAACAACTCGGTGTACTCAGCGTGTCAAAAGTTTCAGTTGCTGAAGAGTTACTTGACGGAAGCAGCATACGAGTTAATTGGGCATATTCCTGCGACTAACGATAATTATCTAGAGGCATGGAGTAAGCTATGTGCGCGCTATAATAAGCTTGGTGTTATAGCGCATACTCAAGTTTCAAAGTTTCTTAGTTTGACAACTTTAAGTAGCCAATCTGTTTCATCTTTACGTAAATTATATGACGGAGCTGACGAGGTTATTCGTGGATTGCGCGCACTGGGCGAACAAGCAGAAAAGAGGGACATCTGGCTAATACATATTCTACTCGGTAAACTCGATTCGACAACTGCCAGGGAATGGACGAAGTTCACGAAATCAGACAACGATTTTCCAACATTAAATGAGTTTTTGACGTTTTTGTACAACGCATGTATCACGTTGGAATCTGTAACACCGGCAGCCACATCGCGTACGGGAAGCCGTTCAGTTGCAGTTAAGACACATCAAACGACGATAGAAATGAAAGTTAAATGCCAAAAATGCGGCGGTATACATGAGTTGCATCAGTGCAGTGAATTTCTTAGTATGGATGTTAAAGCTCGCAGAGCCTTTGTGGCCACTAAACGCATATGTTACAACTGCCTTAGAGTCGGTCATATATCAAATAATTGCCGCTCAAAATTCTCGTGCCGTAATTGTCGAAAACGACACCATAGCCTCTTACATGAAGATAATCAGCAAACGCAGAAGTTAGAGTCATTAGTGGACTCTGCAGTTAATGTGAACTTTCACGCGCTACCTGCCATTAACACTCTTTTGCCGACAGCGGTATGTCTGGTAAGCGATAGCTATGGGTGTAAACAGTCGTGTCGCTTGTTGTTGGACAGCGGTTCTGAGAAAACTATTATATCAGAGAGCACCGTCAGTCGCTTAGGGCTACATCGAAAGCATGCAAGAATACCGGTACATGGTTTGGACAACTCAGCTACTGGAATATCGCGCGGCTGGGTTTCTCTTCAAATAACTTCCAGTGACAACAATAATACGTTCACAGTCGATGCGCTAATTATGCCAACAATTGCATCGTTTATGCCGGCAAATGAACTAAATAAAGAGCAGTACATTTCTTTTTTGTCTTTAGACTTGGCGGATCCATTGTTTTTCATACCTGCGCCAATAGACATTCTTTTGGGGAACGATAAATTTTTTGAAATTTTGAGGGGCGAAAAGATTAGAGGAAAAGAACAAAATTTATGTGCTCTTTCAACATCACTGGGGTGGATCGTAGGTGGCGATTTAACCAACAATGCGAGCAATAGAAGCGTGGGAGTATTTCTTAATAACGTAGACATCGACCAAACACTTACACGATTTTGGGAGACGGAAGAGGTCGAATACGCACATCAATTGACAGACGACGAGCTAAGGGCAGAGCAATCATTTTCGAGTACGTATACGAGATCGGACGATGGCAAGTTTAGCGTTGAGCTTCCTTTTAAAACTAAAGTTAACCATTTTGGAAATTCTTTTGAGTGCGCACTTAAGCGACTGCAAGCAACAGAACGCAGGCTTGCAGGCAACCCGGATCTAAAATCGCAGTATTCAAATTTTATGGCGGATTACATCGCTTTAGATCATATGGAGAAGATCCCAGATGAGGAAATTAGTAAATCACCTAACGAGTGCTGCTATTTACCTCACCATCCCGTTTTTAAAAACGATAGCACAACAACGAAGCTACGCGTTGTTTTTGATGGATCTGCACGTAGTGGAAGCCACTCGTCGCTGAATGATGCGCTGCTTATTGGGCCATCGCTTTTGAGAGAGATTTTTGATATTTTACTCCGGTTCCGTCGACATCGCTACATAATGTCTGGTGACGTCGAAAAGATGTACCGCATGATTTGGGTGCACGATTACCACCGGGATTTCCAACGTATTTTGTGGCGAAGTTCACCCGAGGAGCCGGTGAATCACTACAGGTTAAAAACTGTGACTTATGGCACAGCATGTGCACCATTTCTTGCAGTGAGGGTATTGGAAGAGCTTGCAAAAAAATCTCAAGACACTCATCCTTTGGCATCACAGGTAATTTTCAATGATTTTTATATGGATGACGTTATGACAGGGGCAGAGTCTTTTGACGACCTTCTTAAAATCCATAGAGAGCTAGTTGCTCTTCTTAAAGGTGCAGGTATGAATTTGCGTAAGTGGAGTAGCAACTGCAATGAGTTACTAAATTCTCTTCCCGAAGTAATGCGAGAGATGTCGCCTGTTAACTTGGAGCCACCGAAAATGCTCAAATTACTTGGAATGAAGTGGAACCCTGTTAATGACGTATTTTCATTTTGCCTTTCATACTCTTCATCGACAGTGGCAACAAAGCAGTCGATACTGTCAGATGCGGCGCGCATATATGACCCTTTAGGTTTTCTTACACCATGCACAGTTTTGATAAAAATGTTTTTCCAAGAGCTGTGGCTTCTCAAATTAGACTGGAAGGACGAGGTTCCGACTAGCGTTTCGGCACATTGGTTAAAACTCAGAAGCACACTTTCAACAATAAATTCATTGCAAATTCCAAGAAGAGCATTGTTCGCACTAGGTCGTAACGAATTACATGGCTTTTGCGATGCTTCTCAAAACGCGTACGCTGCCGTCGTCTATTGCCGTTCTGAGTATGAGGGTAAAATAACAACTCAACTTGTGGCTGCAAAGAGTCGCGTCGCTCCGCTCAAGCAAATATCTTTACCTCGTCTGGAGTTATGCGGTGCTGTCCTTCTCTGTCGGCTGATGAATCGTGTAGTGAAGACTCTGCAATTCGATAGAATGGCAGTTCAAATGTGGACGGACTCATCGATCGTTCTTCATTGGTTATCGGCTGTGCCGCGGCGCTGGTCTGTTTACATTGCAAATCGGACATCGGAGATATTGACTAGTTACAAAAGCTCTCAATGGCATCATATTCGCTCATCACACAACCCAGCTGATCCCGCTTCTAGAGGCGTATGGCCTTCGGAACTACACACATTGAACATATGGTGGTATGGTCCCCCTTGGCTCAACCAACAAAAGGAGTTCTGGCCGAAGTCAAGTGCGTTGTCAGACATTCGTCATGGCGATCTAGAAGAACGTAAGAATCAACCAGAAGCTCACACTAAACTCTTCTTTCTATCTACAGAAGATCATATAATAATTGGTCCACTGTCATCGCGCATTTCAAAGTGGTCTCGACTAGTGCGCTCTGTGTCATATTGTCTACGATTTATTGGTTCTGTATGCAAACGAAAATATGAAACGTTCCTGTCATCTAATGAACTCAAGGCTGCTACCGTCTTCATCATACGTGCCGTTCAAGAAGAGCTGTTCTCAACTGACATTGCTGCCATGAATAAAAAAATCGCCATTTCTAACAAAAGCAATCTTTTGCCACTATCACCATTCTTAGATGACAATGGAGTGCTTAGGGTAGGCGGAAGAATCAAAAATTCATCAGCATCATTTGACATTAGACACCCCATCATATTATCTTCGAAACACAAGATTGTCGAGATGTTAGTTAACTATACACATATTTTACATTTGCATGTTGGGGTTACACAGCTTATATTTATTCTGAGACAACAATACTGGATTTTGGGCTCGCGAAATCTTGCGAGAAAAAATTGTTCATAACTGTTTAACGTGTTTCAAGCTGCGAAAGTGTACTCAGACGCAATTAATGAGCGACTTGCCTATAGAGAGGGTGAGATTCCAACGACCATTTTCTAAGGTAGGCTGCGACTATGCTGGTCCTTTTTTACTAAAGGTTGAGATAGGCAGACTGCCGCGTAAGGCCAAGGGCTACATTTCTCTCTTTGTATGCTTCGTAACAAAGGCCATACACTTGGAGCTAGTCGGCGATTTAACTACCGAAGCGTTTATTGGCGCCTTGGATCGTTTCATTTCAAGGCGTGGACAACCGGAAGAAATTTGGTCTGATAATGCGAAAAATTTTGTTGGCGCTAAACGTAAACTTCATGAAATGTACCAGATTCTGGAAGCTTAACAACGAAGTTCCGAAGTTGCAGATTTTCTTTCTTTGAATGGCATTACTTGGCGTTTCATACCACCTTCATCACCACATTTCGGAGGGCTTTGGGAAAGCGGTGTGAAATCGGTGAAAACACATTTGAAACGAGTAATTGGCGAAACAACTTTAACATATGAACGATTTTACACGCTCTTGGCTCGTATAGAAGCGCTGCTGAATTCGCGACCACTGTGCCCTAGCAATGATGGAGAAATTGATGCCCTTACTCCTGCTCATTTCTTGATTGGGCAGCCATTTACTGCGCGAGCAGAACCTACCGTCGACTCGGCTGCAAATATACATCCGCAAAAGCAATGGGAAAAGGTAAAACACATGGCGCAAGGTTTCTGGAACCGATGGCACGCTGAGTATCTCACTAGTCTTCAGCAACGGAAGAAGTGGCAAAACGAAAAGACGAACTTAAAACTGCACGACATCGTTATCGTTCGCGAGCCTAATATACCTCAGTCGCAGTGGATGCTTGCAAAGGTTGTAAAACTTTTTCCAAGTTCTGATGGCAAGGTGAGAGTAGTTGCAATAAAGACCGCAAGAGGGGAGTACGTACGACCGGTAACCAAACTCGCATTGCTTCCTTCCTCAGTAGGACCTAGGTCCTCCAGCGGCCCGGAGGATGTTCCGTAACCAGCAATATAATTTAAGTTTCAAGTAGGGTATATATGTTCTCTGATACTACCTTTCATAAATATGTATGTAATTTCATTTCACATCAATACATAGCTAAATATACATATGTGCATAGGTTCTTTTATCCCATACGATTGTGTTGTAGTCCAGTTATGTACGGTAATATCAGCCCATAAGGCACCTGAGGTATTTATATTTTCTGGAGTAGACTCGTTTTTTTAGTTTCGCTTCAGCATCACGTGGATGCAGTAATATTTGAGTAAAACTTAAACGAACTTAAAATAAATTAGCGTTTGCCAAAAAATCAAAATCATTCGCTTTTAATTTACAGTCCGCTGGTTTAGCTACAACATCCTTATTCTTCGCGGCAAGAATAGCTCCTTCACTGAGCCAATCGTGATTTCTATATTTAGTTTGAATATGCGGAAACATTCTTTCGATCAGTTCTCCTTGCAATGTTTCTATGTGACAAAAATTATCAGGCAACAAAATTCGTCCTAATCTCTCATTGACTGCAGCTTTCCGTTCCCTATGTTCAGTACTTGTCCCGAGAGTACCTAGGCTGATTAATCGCTCTGTACTTGGACACGCATATTCGTAATCAACTGCAATGTATGTATGTTCGTCTTGCCACAATGTTGAATACTTCAGCCAAGCATTTATCTCATCCGCTTGAGTAAATCGAGATATTACAGGCAATGTTTGCGTAAAATCTCCTGCGAGCAGTATCAATGCATTTTTGAATGGTTGAACATTTCTACGCAAATCTCGTACCGATCGATCAAGAACCTCAAGAGATTTTTTGTGTGGCATCATTCACTCGTCCCAAACAATGAGTTTACATTTTTGTAATAAGTACTTTTCCTATACCGGATGTTCTGGAAATATTGCACATGGGAGTTTCGATGATTTGTATGTTCAATGGCAGCATAGGAGCTCAATGAGAAGTGTTTCCACCTGGTAACAATGTCGCAGATATTCCAGACGAAGCGGGAGCTACGACTATGTAATTTTTTCATCGAACCGTTGCCACAATCTTTTAAGGAATGTTCTCCTAGTTCCTCCTGGCGCATCCAAGTAGAAGGTCATTTATCATTTGCATCTTCTTACCACCAGCGGATTGGGAGTCGAACACTTTTAGACCTGGAATGTCGGTTCCCATTCGAACGCCAATCGCTTT